AAACTATACTTGAGTACAACTATCTGTTTTTATCACTGATGCCCTATGTGGAGTGAGCAGATGCTTGCCTCACAGGAAAATTCACACAAGACTCTCTCTCTCTTTTTTTTTTTTTTGGTTTTTCGAGACAGGGTTTCTCTGTATTTATTGTTTTGGACCCTGTCCTGGAACTCAAGACCAGGCTGGTCTCAAACTCACAGAGATCCACCTGCCTCTGCCTCCCGAGTGCTGGGATTAAAGGTGTGTGCAACCAACGCCCAGCTCACACAACACTCTTATAGAAAGTAAGTCTTAAGGAAAACTGAATAGCTTATACTCCACTTGACCTCAATGGAATAAAACTACAAAGCAACAAGAAAAACTAGAATACATACAAAGATTTATAGATTGAAAAAATCAAAAAGAAACAAACAAAAAAGAAAACACACAATTGAATGAGAAATGGGTCAATGAAGAAATCAAAGTAAACAAAAAATGTATAGAATTACATGAGAAATTAAAACACAAAATTACAAACCCTGAGGAATACAATGAAAGCAGTCTTTGAGGGAAGTTTATAGCTGTAAGTACCTAACATAACAATAAGTAAATGAATACATCAGAAATATCTCAAATAAATAATGATATGGCTGAGGCTTTGGAAAAACAAAAACAAGCCAAGCCTGAAAGTAGTAGACGGTAAGAATTAAGATCAGGGCAGAAACAAATGAAATGAAAACTGAAGAAACAATATAAAGAATCAGTGAAACAAATGCCTGCAAATTCACTTTATGAAACAATCATTACTCTAATAGTAATGCTGAACAAAGACAGAACACACAAATAAAATGACAGACCACTGTCTCTGGTGAACATAACTAGAAAATTCTCAATAATAACACTTGCAAACTGAATTCAAGAACACAGAAAAGAGATCATTCACCATGATCAAGTTGGCTTCATTCCAGAGATGCAGGGATGGTTCAACATATGCAAATCAATAATCATACTCCACCACATAAATTGAGTCAAGGACAGAAACCACATGATGTTGAAAAGACATCCCTTCATGATAAAAGTCCTAAAGAGACTAGGAATAAAAAGAACATATTTTAACATAATAAAGGCTATATATGGCAAACCTATAGCTAATCACACCAAATGGAGAAAAATTCAAAACATGTTTGCTACAATCAGGAACAGGACAGAGGTTTTCATCTTTCTTTACTCTTATTCAGTATGGTACTTGAACTTGGATTTATGGGTTTTGTTCATTTACTTGTCTGTCTGTTCGTTTTTCAAGATAAGGTTTCAATAGTCCTGGGTATCCTGGAACTCACTTCATAGACCAGGTTACCCTCGAACTCACAGGGATCCCCCTGTCTCTGCCTCTCAAGTGCTGGGATTAAAGCATGAGTCACCACCGCCCAGTTTTAACTAGAGCAGTAAAACAAGAGAAGGAAATGAAAGGGATACAACAGGAAAGGAAGAAGCCTATGCATCCTTATATAATGATAAAATAATCCTACATAGAAAAGATCCTAAAGACTGAATCATAAAATTCTTAGATTTGATGAACACTTTTTACAAGTGTCAGAATACAAAATTAACATACAAAAGCATTGGTCTTCCTATATATCAACAAAAAACATGTTCGAGGATATTTGATCACACTGTGAACCCCGGGATTATGTTATTTGCTGCAATAACCTGTTTCTAGTTGTAGTGTGGTTCAACCCTAGCATAAACCTTTAATCCAAGAACTTTCTACTTACTGTAAACAGGATTAAATAAAGTTAACCAAAGTCAAGAGATCCAGCAAGCAAAATTAGTTGACAGGAAATGAAAAAGAAAAAAACGGAGTAAAAGGGAGTGGGGAAGACGGATAGAGATGCACAGGAAGTAGAAGGGAGGGACATTCAGTTGTAGTTTTCTGTTTGAGATGATGGGAGAAGCGAAGTTTTTCCAGGATGTTGTCTGAAGAGAAAGGCCAACTGGGTGCTTTCTCTGCCTCTCTGAACTAGCAGGCTTTCACTCCAGCATCTGGCTCACAAGTCTTTATTGGTAAAATTGAAGACTGAATTTTTGTTTAAAAAAAATGTGAACACATTTACAAATAATCAGAAAAATAATCTCACTCTGATAGCTTAAAAAAAAACCTTGCAATAAACCTAGGTAAAAAGAGATCTCTGCAATAAAAGCTACAACATTAAAGAAAAAAAAAACTGAAGGGAGTAGAAGATGGAAAGACTTTCCCTGCTCACAGATTAGAAGCATACTGTGAAGGCAGGAGCTGTGGCTCAGTAAGAAAAATCCTTCCTTAGCAGGCAGGAAGCTGAGGCTCACCCCCTAATACTGGCAATCAGAAAGAGCAAAGGAAGGAAAGTATGTCAGCTGGTTAATATTGCAAAAGAGGCTATACTAGTCAAAGCAATCTACAGATCCGGTGCAATCGCCATCAGAATTCCAGTGCTATTTTAAAAATATAAAAAAAAAAATCTTAAACCTCTTATCCCGATGATGGTGGTGCACACCTTTAACCCTAGCCAATCTGGTCTACAAAACAAATTCCAGGACAGTCAGGACTACAGAGAAACCCTGTCTTGAAAAACAGAAACAAAAAAATCTCCACAAACAAAAACTAAAACAAGCCTCTTATGAAAGTTCTAAAGCTACTAAGGGTTAGGGGGCATCCAATTCTGAAAAACAAAACAAAACAAAAAACCCTCAATACATGATTTCAAGATATACCAGAGCCATAATACCAAAAAAGGCACGGTACTGTCACAGAAAGAAACACAGATTATTCCAATAGAAAGGGAACCCAGGCTGGGCATGGTGGCGCATGTCTGTAATCCCAGCGGTTGGCAGGCAGAGGCAGGTGGATCACTTTGAGTTTGAGGTCAGCCTGGTCTACAGAGAGAGTTCGAGGACAGGCTCCACAGAGCTGCACAGAGAAACCCTGTCTCAAAAACACAAAAGAAAGGGGGAAGGGGGAAGGGGGAGGGAGGCAGGGAGGCAGGGAGGCAGGGAGGCAGGGAGGCAGGGAGGCAGGCAGGGAGGCAGGGAGGCAGGGAGGCAGGGAGGCAGGGGGAAGGGGGAGGGAAGGAGGGAGGGAGGGAGGCAGGCAGGGAGGCAGGCAGGGAGGCAGGGAGGCAGGGAGGGAGGCAGGGAGGCAGGCAGGGAGGCAGGCAGGGAGGCAGGGAGGCAGGGAGGCAGGGGGGAAGGGGGAGGGAAGGAGGGAGGGAGGGAGGCAGGCAGGGAGGCAGGCAGGAGGCAGGCAGGGAGGCAGGGAGGCAGGGAGGCAGGGGGAAGGGGGAGGGAAGGAGGGAGGGAAGGAAGGAAGGAAGAAGGAAACCCAGAAAAGGTCAACAGAGCTTTAGCCAGGTGATGATGAGTTGCAGGCATCACTGGAAGGTGAGTGGGTGAGTAGACAGAGGCAGACAGATCTCGAGGCTCCCAGCCAGTCCAATGGAAACAAGGGCCTATAAGTTTGGTGAGAAGCCTGGTCTCAAAGCAGAAAGCAATGGAGAATAAACTCTGCACTCCCTAGTAAACATGCACACACACAACACAAAGACCTAGGCAATGATTTTCTGAACAGAACCCTTCTCACATAGGAAATAATGTCAGCAAATGACAGACAAAAGAAACCTCATGAAATTAAGACATTTTTGCACAGAAAATCAAATAGGTGAACAAAGCATACAGAATAGAAAATCTTTGCTACCCATTTTATCTGACAGAGGACTAATATCTAGACTATACAAAGAACTCAAAAAACCCCAACCCCATCAATTATCAGTTAATGAAATAAGTAGACAGGAGGAGACACAAAGGCCATTATATACATGAAAAAATGTTCAACCTTACTAGCCATCAGAGAAATGCAAATTAAAATTGCACTAAAATCGCCATTTCACTCTAGGCAGGATGACAGTCATTAACAAAAGAAGTAACTGTTGAATATAGTAATACACCTTAAATTCCAGCACTCAGGAGGCAGAGGCAGGTGGATCTCTGTGATGTCAGCCTGGTCTACACAGAGTGTTAAGACAGCCAGGGCTACACAAAATAAAAAACAACAGTAACACCACCACCAACAAACAAACAAACAAAAACTGCTGGCAAGGATGTGGAGAGAAGGGAGCTGGTACACACTGCTGATGAGAACGTAAACTACTCCAGCCACTATGGAAACCAGTAGAGAGGTTCCACAACACACACATACACACACACACACACACACACACACACACACACACACACACACACACACACACAGAGAGAGAGAAAAAAAACTAAGAAGAGAGCTACAATATGGCTCAGCTGTAACACTTCTGAGTATCTACCTACAAAACTCCAAGTCAACATATCACAGAGAGATCTATACTTTATTAACATTTACCATGCCACAAAAGCTAGGCTATGAAAACAACTCAGGTGTCCACAGAATGGATGAAGAAAATAGGGTATATTTACAGAATGAAAAGTTTCAACCAAAAGGAGCATACTGATATCATTTGCAGAAATATGTATGCAACTGAGATAGACATATCAAGTGAAATATGAAAACCTCAGAAAGATAGGGTATTTTCTATAATTTACCTATGTATAGAAAATCTAGGAGACAGACAAGAAACTGGAAGTGGGACTGTCTTGGAATACAAAAGAAAGGGCTAAAAGGAGAAGAGCTGGAAGAAAGGGGAGAGTGGGGAAACAAGACAGGTAACAATTCAACAAATCCCCTAGAATTACAGAAAATGTCCTAATGGAATAGAATAAGACATATAGTACACCCAGGTGTTAGTGACACCTTTAATCCCAGCACTCAGGAGGCAGAGGCAGGAGGCTCTCTGTGAGTTCTAGGCCAGCCTGGTCTACAGAGAAATATCCTGGCCATTACCTTTTAGCCACCAAAGGTCCAAAAGTAGTGAATAAGTATCCTCTTCCAAAATGAAAAATGTATAAACTAGTGATCACATACAGCATACTAAGCCATAGTATTAACTACTACTCACCGATTCTTTCTCTACAGTTCGGTTTAACATGACAACTGCTCTGGTCTTCTGCTGCCACACCATGAGCCAGAAGTGGCAACACGTGTTAGGAAGTGGACCCTGTAATTACACAACACGAGCACATGAGGGAAAGGGGAAAGGAGCTGGAGAAGGACAAGGCTTCAAGGCACTACTATGACCAGTGGATTAGGTCTTGCAAAGTAAATCAAGACATTAAATGTACTTAAATTCAAAATAAAGTCTGCATTCAATAAAACTTTTCCTCTATGTAAAGATATTTTACTTACTTAGGCAGAAAAAGAACTGTATGGGATAACCAGTTCAGAATTAAGAGTTGATTAACTAGATTCAAGTAACAATTATAAAATGCAGGCAAGATTTTGTGACAAAGCCAACTTAGTTCACTGCTTCTGATACTATCATGTTGTTATGGCTTTGCTGGCGCCGTGACCTATTGATGATAGTCAATGCTGCTATAAGGAAAACAAGGCGTCTACAGTATAAACACAGGCAAACCAGAATGAGAATCATAAGTGAGAGCACCTGGGGGTCAAGTTCTAGCTACAAAGGATATCAGAAAAGGAAATCTGTCTTAGTTTCTGCAACAGACAAATGACCTCTCATGGGGACATTTATGTCATTACTGTTCCACCAAAGAATTTGTCAACACAAAAGAATTTGCAGGGAAAAAAATCATGAAAGTACCTGTAAATCAGTTTGCTGTGCCTAGTATCATCTGGCAGAGCTAAAAGTGGACAAAAGTCCTTATTACAATATGCTATGGAGGGAGAAAAGCAACTATACACTTCCAATTACTTTCCCTTTTGTCTTAATGATAGCATAGGGTTATTAAAAAAAGGGGGGCAGGATATGAAGAAGCATGCCCAGAATGACTGAATAACTTTCTTTCCCTCCTTTCCTTCTTCCTCCCTCCTTCCTTCTTGTAGGGCTGGAGATGTAAGCCCAGGGTACCTCATGCATACTGAGGACATAATGCTCTGCCACTAAGCTCTAAAACCAAACTCTGCCTAAACATTTAGCCAACTTCCAGAACAATGTAGCAGACTGTTCAGTATGGGGGCAGGGAAGACCAGAACTGCTTTAGGGCAGATGCATTTCTTGGTGTGTAGCTAATAGTCAATACATATTGCTTAACTGAATAAACTCTAAAGTTAACCTGTGAAAATGCTAGATATCTGAGAAATTACATCCTTATTATTAAAGGATACGATCCTCTTCATCCAATGTACATACATTTCAAAGATGAAAAAAACAAACATCCTTCCAACCAAAAAAAGAAATGAGAAAATCCCTAGTAAAATGAATGACTTTTCCCTTCATCTTTAAAAATAAATCGTGGGCCGGGAAACAGGATCTCTCTATGAGTTTAAGGCCACCCTTGGACTACACAGTGAGTTTAAGGCTAACCAGGGCTACATAGTGAAATGGACGGACGGACGGACGGACGGCTGGCTGGCTGGCTGGCTGGCTGGCTGGCTGGCTGGCTGGCTGGCTGAGCAATTGAGGGCACTTGTTGCTTTTTCAAAGGACCCCCACAGTGTGGCTTACAGTTACCTATAACTAGCTCCAAGGTATTTGACACTTTCTTCTGGTCTCATTAGGGACCTATATATATGAGTGGTGCATATACAAATCTCTCTCTCTCTCTCTCTCTCTCTCTCTCTCTCTCTCTCTCTCTCTCTCTCTCTCTCTCTCTCTCTCTCACACACACACACACACACACACACACACACACACACACACACACACACACACACACACACGATGCACTCAGTAATGAAGTCCTTTGTGGGCACATACATACTTCTATAACTGGTTCTAAAGACTAAATAAACATGCAACAGCTTTTACAGTATAAAGAATAAAGGATTCTAAAAAGACAGGAATTCATCTATCAGTTCTTCCACAACCTAGCAATGCTACCAAGTTGTTTTGTTTTTGTTTTTATTTTTTTTGAGACAGGTTTTCTCTGTGTAGTCTTGGCTGGTCTGGAACTCAGAAAGATTCACCTACCTCTGCCTCCCAGTACAGGGATTAAAGACATGCGCCACCACCAACTGGTTGAAATGCTACCAAATTTTTAAACAGTAAAATGGACAGGATATACCAAGAGGCTGATTAGAAAAAAAAAAATAAGACTTAGGCAAAAGACAATCCAGTAAGAAACAAAGAACAACCAAAACACTGTAGGTAAAATCTTTAAATGTAGGTCTTCTCTCTCTGTTCAAGTAACATGCTATACATAGGCATGGCTGAAATGTAGTCTCAATCCCTACAAAATGCATTCTACAGGACACAGAAGAAAGTGACTGACAAATTTTGCCAAAACAGGCAGAACAGTCCTTCAAATTTCCTACTTCAGTGAAAAGTCTGCCAAATACTGTAGGCTGAAGATGGATGGCCCCAACGTTACAGAAGAACTCTGGGTGACTGCCCAGGCAGCCAGATATCTCTGTCATATCTAGAGTTTTTGAAGTTGCTTACAATGTACTTCCTATTTACTTATATAATATCTTTCTGGGGCTAAAGACTAGATAATTATTATTATAATTTCCCTTAGCTATGATAAAAGATAAATTAAATATAAAATTTTAGACTCACAAAGGTAGATGATAGAGGTTTTTGTTGTATGTATGTATGTATGTATTTATTTATTTATTTATTTGGGGGGGGGGTTTCGAGACAGGGTTTCTCTGTGGCTTTGGAGGCTGTGCTGGTACTGGCTCTTGTAGACCAGGCTGGTCTCGAACTCACAGAGATCCGCCTGCCTCTGCCTCCTGAGTGCTGGGATTAAAGGCATGCGCCACCAACGCCCAGCAAGTATTTTCTTTTAATTTAAAATATTGTATAATTCTTGCTTGGTAAATTTTACTATGTTAAAGTTAAACCTTCCTTTTTAATTAGACAGAAAAAGGGAGAGGATATGGGATGTCCTTTCGTATACTGCAAATATGTGTGAATATTGGTTGACAAATAAAGATGTTTTGGTCTATGATGGGCAGACTATAGCTAGGCAGGAAATCCAAAGAGAGATACAGAAAGAAAGAAGGTGGAATCGGGGAGATGCCATGTGTCATCCATCAGTAGAAGTAAGATGCCAGAATATTACCAGTAAGCCACAGCCATGTGGTGATAGAGATTAGTAAAAATGGGTTAATATAATAATAATAAGTAATATTCCTAAGTCATTGGTCAAACAATTATAATTAATATAAGCCTTAGAGTGGTTATTTGGGAACTGACAGGAGGGATGATAAACCTCCACTACATACAGATACAAGTGCTTAGGAAGTTAAGTCATTTGTACAAAATCACACAGCAATTATAAGAAAGCAGAGAAAAACCAGGTGTGGTGGTACATGCCTTTAATCCTACCTACTTAACTAAGTTAGTTCAAGGCTAGTCATGGCTACATAGTGAGACCTATCTAAAAAACAAAAACAAAAAACAGTAGAGAAGAACTGTAGCTTCAGATTTTGGCTTCATCTTATCCACTTGTATGACAGTATGATTTAATTGTAACATAAGAGATAGCATTTAGGGGGCTGGAAAGATGGCTCAAAGATTAATAGCACCAGCTGCTCTTCCAGAGGTCCTGAGTTGAATTCCCAACAACCACATGGTGGCTCACAACCATCTGTAATGAGATCTGGGTGCCCTCTCCTGGCCTGCAGGCATACATGCAGGCAGGACACTGCATACAAAATAAATAAAAATAAGTAAATAAATAAATGAATAAACAAAAAGATACAGCATTTAAAAAAGAGGTTTTCAAAGGTCAAATTATATAAAACATGCAAAGTGGAAATGCTACAAAACTATTTATTGTGTTTATTTGTTTCATGTATGTACTTCAGAGTGTGTGTGTGTGGATGTGCATTATGTGTCACTGAGGGCAGCAAGTCACAGGACAAGTCAGAGGACAAGTCACAGGACAACTTGGAAGAGTTGGTTCTCTACACCATGCGGGACCCAGGGACTGAATTCAGATTGTAAGGAGTAGCAGCAAATACCTTTACCTACCGAGCATCTTGCTAGCCCACAAAACTTTTAATAAAACTTTTTGTAAAAATAATTTTACTTCTCATTAGAATGTAATGTTCTAGGATGTCACATAAGGTAGTCATCAACCTTATCATCAGGAAGGGGCTATTAATGTAGTCTCTCCGCTATTACTTAGTTTTCCAGTTGGTGTTATCCTTATACATCTCTGGAAATCTCCCTAAGTGTCAGTTCTCTCCTCAAAGCTATAATGACTCCAACTATTATGGTATCTCTGATCCTGATCTCCTCTATTCTTACCCCGACTCAACCTTCCTGCTCCCCCATGTCTTCTTCTACCCTCCTCTTATCCCCCTCTCTTTTTCCTGGTTCCTTCTCTTCTCTCCCCATGTTCCCAATCTGCCTAGGAGATCTTGACTCTTTCCACTTCTATGGGGTATAATGCATATCTCTTGGGAACCTCCCTGTTTCCTAGACTCACTGGCCCTGGGATTGTGGGCTGATGGAAGCAGAGACAGATACAGCTAAACACTGAACTGACCCCCTGGGACCCAGGGACAGAGATGGAGGAGTGAGGAGCAAAGCAGTCAAGACCGTGCTGGTGAAACCCACAAAGACAGCTGACCAGACAAAGGGGAGCTCTTGAACCCCAGACTGATGGCTGAGAGGCCAACATGGGGCTGATCCAGACTCCATGAATATAGTGTTAGTGAGGAGGCCTCAGAAATCTCTGGGGCCTTAGGTAGTGGACTAGTGTTCACCATGGCATACAAATGAACTTTGGGAGCCCGTTCCACATGGAGGGATGCTCTCTCAGCCTGGACACATGGGGAAGGGCCTAGGTCCTGCCCTGGATGAAATTACAGACTCTGGAGATCCCCCCAAAGAGGGCCTCACCCTCCCTGGGGAATGATGTGGGGATTGGGCTGGGGATGGGGCTGGTGGAGGGAGAAAAGGGGAGCTGGGATTGACATTTGTCACAGCAACGAGAACATAACATATCATGCTTTTCCATTTTAACACTGAATATTGATTTAGAAAAATCATAAATGATTATGACTAAACATAAAACTTCAGTTATATACAACAGCAAATTGAACTCCCAATCCCCATAAATGACTACTCCTAAATGGTATGTATATGATTGATTCATTTAACCCACATCAGTCCTCTCATGAAATTAAGGTGGGAATAAACACTATCATTTCTGTTGGGTTTCTCAGGTCAGTTTTTCAATTGCATTTGTGATCACGGAGTATTATACACTTTATTTAGTTGTTTATTATCAAGCCACTACATGAAGAAAATACTACTAGGTCCAAGTTAAAGATGTCTCCAAATGATTCAAATAATAAAAGCTAAGAGGTTGCTCCGAGGTGATAGTACACACCTTTAATCTCTGCACTTGGGAGGTAGAAGCAGGTGAATCTCTGTGAGTTCAAGGTCAGCCTGGTCTACAAAGTGAGTTCCAAGATGGCCAAGATTACACAGAGAAATAATATTTTTTTTTTCAATTAAGCGTTAGTGAGAATTAAACACTTAAAGGGAAAGTTTCAGTTTATTGTCATTAGCCAGTACAATCTCCACAGAGAACTAGTGTAGGTTCTTGCAGTAGTCTCAGTGTAGCTGAATTACTTCTCCATAAAAATTAAGTACGGTACTACTGCAGACAAATCTGTTTTGTAATGCTGTAACTAGTTGCTTGTAGCCAGGGACACTAGCAATCCCTGGAGCAGCACTCAGGGTCTTCTTGCTAATTCACCTATATCTCATAGGTGCTAGCAGCTCATCACTCTTATTAAATCAGCAAAGGGGCCAATAGAGTCAAAGTTCTGGATGGAACCATGCATACTCCTTCTCCTAGGTATAAACTACCTTTAGAAAGTGACTGTAGAAGGAAGTTTAGGACCAGGGGACAGGATAAGATCTGAGGGTAGGAAAGAGACGAAGCCTGAGGGGAAAGGCTGCTGAGTACTTGGTGAAGGCTCAGTGCCTAGGCCACCTAAAACTATGTTCCTTAACAGCTAGATAAACACAGCATCTTTTCAAATGTGTATTTTGCTCCATGAGTTGTGAACTGATATCTTTAGCCAGACTGCTTCCCTTTCCTTTTTAGTTGAAGAAGCTACTTTAAGTAAAATAATTTGTTTCTCTGACAGAAAATTCTAATGGCTCACAGGTACACTAAGTTGAACTTAAAAAAAAAAACCACACACACACACACACACACAAAAACAATTAATGCTTTTCTGTCTTTGAAATAGCAGGTTACACTAATCTGTTAAACTTTTAAAAACTTCAAACATAATGTTATAGATACAGTCAAGGGCACTTGCTTCTCTTCCAAAGAATCAGAGTTTGGTTCCCAGTATGAGTCACAACAGCCTGTAACTCTAACTCTAGGGGACACCCTCTTTTGGCCTTTGTGGGCATCCTGGTGCACATGTACATATACATATACACAGAGACACAAATAATAAGGCAGCTCAGCAGGACCACACCTATATTAGGCTCTGCAGTTACACCCTATCCTCAGCACAGCTGTTCTCTCTTAGAATACATTCATAGTGTAGGGATGGACAGAAAAGGGCTCCCAAGGCCTTCCTGGTTCTTCATCTCAAGTGAGGGGAGGAGAACCCCAAACCACTAACAAAAGTAACAAAAGCTATGTTATACACAGGAAAAAAAGTTAATTTACACTAAGAGAACTGCACCAAGCCATTTCAGAAGAATTTCCTCCATTGAACATATTAACATTAGAAACAATCTTACTTTTTTAACCAATTCATTCAAAGTCTCAAAACTATGATGTTTGCAACTAATTTCAGAATCAGAAAACTAAGAATAGCAAGTCATTTGGAATATCAAGGTGGACATTTAGCTATGTTCAAAGCACAGCACCAAGCTCCACTCTCCAGCACCACACTACTTGCCTGTGTTAAGATGTAACTTCTTTGTGCCTCTTCTATGTCAACTAAGCTGGCATTAATATAATCATTTTCAGTACTTTGCAGTTTAACACGACTGTGATCATCTGAAAGTAGAGAATGATAAATCATAACTGTCATTTCAACTTTTCCATTCCTTTTTATTTGATGTTAATATTCTAAGTTAGTTAGAGTTAATAGGAGAAATAAAGAAAACATAATACCAAAGGAGAGTTGAGACAAATCCTAAATTACCTATTTTTTTAAAAATATGGAAGTACAAGCATAATATTATTACTGGATGTTGGAAAGGAAGTGCTTCTGTTTGTAGTCTATCATCTACAGTTAACATGAAAAATTGGCCAGCATGTGCAGTAAAGAGAATAAGGCACTTACCTTACTGGAAGTGAAAAGTCATCTCAAGTCTCAGTGCTAGGAACTGAGTATGTGCAAAAACATAACTGGGCTCAAACTGATGAGAACAGACTCTCCACATCTTGGTAGCATGCATACAACTGTATTTAAACAATGCTTAACACTGAGAAACTAAAATAGCTAGGTTACTCTAACTGTTCTTTACAAGAGCACTGAAAACACTTCATTACTTAAAACTATGTTAACAGGTTAGACACATTTCTACATTTAAAAACTAAAAATTACAGACTTAGAATTTATACTAGGCACAATTAGTCTAAATTCTATAGTATCTAAAATGCAACACTTGACCTTGTATCATCCAGGGGAAGAAAAAAATTAGGAGCACAAAAGAACTTATCTCCAAAAGCCGGGTGTTGGTGGTACACGCCTTTGATCCCAGCACTCAGGAGGCAGAGGCAGGCGGATCTCTGTGAGTTCGAGGCCAGCCTGGTCTACAGGGTGAGTTCCAGGACAGCCTCCAAAACAATAGAGAAACCCTGTCTCTAACCCCCCCAAAAAAAACTTATCTACAAGATTAACTTTAATTAAGAATCCTAGACTTAGCCGGGCGTTGGTGGCACACACCTTTAATCCCAGCACTTGGGAGGCAGAGGCAGGTGGATCTCTGTAAGTTTAAGGCCAGCCTGGTCTACAGAGCGAGTTCCAGGACAGACTCCAAAACTACAAAGGGAAACCCTGTCTCGAAAAACCAAAAACCAAAAAAAAAAAAGAACCCTAGACGTAAGAATGTCACAAGCATAAAACTAAGTTATAAACTGAATTTATGATGTCTAATTTAAGAGAATATACTCTGTGATAAACTACTTCCCTCAAAGAAATACATCTTAAGCATTCACTCTCTTTCCACTTCTTTTCCACTTTCTCCTTTTTGTTTTTTTGAGCTAGGGTCTCATGTAGTCAAGATTAGCCCTCAACTGGACAAGTAGCAGAGAATGACCTCTTAAAATCCTGATCCTCCTATCTCTACCTCTTAAAGCTTGGGTTACACCCTCACACACACCACCTTTTTGTCTTTTGGTTTTTCTAGACAAGGTTTCTCTGTGTAGCTGTGGCTGTCCTGGTCCTCTCTTTGTAGACTAAGCTGGCCTCGAACTCAGAGATCCACCCATGTCTGCCTCCCTGAGTGCTGAGATTAAAGTTGTGTACTATAGCCAAGTGTTGGTGGCACATGCCTTTGATCCCAGCACTCGGGAGGCTGAGGCAGGCGGATCTGAGTTCGAGGCCAGCCTGGTCTACAGAGTGAGTTCCAGGACAGCCTCCAAAACAATACAGAGAAACCCTGTCTCGAAAAACCAAAAAAAAGTTATGTACTATTTTATCTGGTTTTTAGGCTACTACTATAAAATCAAAATCAAAACAACTACAACAAACAAACCCCAAGTTATCTAGCCTATTTCTCCATGTGAATAAATGGCTTTAGTTTCTACATCAGTGTATCTTGGACTGAACACAAGACCTCTTTAATATTACATGTCATTTGCCAACAGAAAACTATGATTTTGCTATAGTAAATCACATGTACTAGTCTTCTGGGAAAGATGATGTCAGCAAGCACTTTTTAAAAAGTTTTTGTTTTGTTAACAGTTTAATCATCCTTTGTCACACTGTACAAGATGGTACACAGCTTCCTACTAAACAAAATAGACCACATGTTTCTTAGATAGCATACCAATGGAAGAATGCAAGCTTTTAAAGAAAGCAACATAACCACCAAAATCTCGACTCCACTATAGTATCTCCCAAAGGAATGCATTTTCTCATGTTGCAACCACAGAAGAATGCAAACCAAAAGCCACCACACACACACACACACACACACACACACACACACACACACACACACACACACACACACACAATAGTCTTTTGGCCAACATGAAACTCAGGTTAGGCCCCAAATACAATGTGGTAGGAATTCAGTGTACCTGCTAACACTTTCCCAGACCAAGGCAAAGCTTAGAAGCTAAGACTAGAAGAAAAGCTCAGCAGCTTAAACAGTGTTCTCTACTCCTGGAATTCAGCTATTTTCCTTCAGTATTTAACCCAAAACTATAAATACAGTAATCATATTCAATGACTTTAAAAGCACAGTAGGGCACTGGAAGCCACCCAAGGTCCTGTGTAATCACAGGTCTTTGTTTCACTGTCTAACAGTAATTTATCCAGTCAGCAAAAGTAAAGGAACACTGAATATTCTCTAAGGTTTAAAAGACAAGTTTTAAATTTTTTGATGGCAGGTGACAATAGAAAATAGTAATCCTTAGGAAAGCATGACAGCTCTTTAGAATACGGCACAGCTGGTGACTGAATATGTGTTTTCTTCTTAAGAAAACAACCTCTCAAACACACAACTTTATCACTATTTAGTTCTGTTAAGAAGACTAATTGGAGAGCAAAGCACAGTGGCACACACCTTTAACGCTAGCACTCCAGAGACAAAGACAGATGGTCTCTTTTGAATTTGTGTCCAGCCTGGTCTATACAGTGGATTCCAGGCCCACCAGGACTACATAAAACCTTGTATCAAAAAAAAATAATAATAAGTTAAAAAGAAACACAAACTTTTTAATTCAGAAGAGATTCTAAAGAAAAAAAACTGACTTTTTTAAAAGATTTATTTATTACATATACAGTATTCTATCTGCATGTTTGCCTGCATGCCAAAAGATGGCACCAGATCTCATTACAGATGGTTGTGAGCCATCATGTGGTTGCTGGGAATTGAACTCAGGACCTCTGGGATAGCAGCCAGTGCTATTAACCTCTGAGCCATCTCTCTAGACCCCAACAGGCAGTTTTTTTGTGATACTAAAATACATCACTTAAAATATTTAAGAAAGATCACACATATATATTTCAGGAAGTGAAACCTCCATCAAACCCTTGAGGACTTTACCAGTTCCAATGCTCAGCTAAAGTAAAGGACCCTGCCTTTTCACTTACTAGGACTCACTAAACATACGCTCAGTTTGAATAATTCTAAAGGTTCTCTGACAACCTGAAAATTAACTGCTTCCTTTCCCTGATCCACTAGTGTTAGTCACTCCCAAACCTGTGAACTGTTCATTTCAATTTATTAAAAAGATTTATTTTTAGTTACATATACATGTATGGGGGACAGGTGGATACGGATGCTCCTAAAGGCCAAAAGAGGGTTTCTGATCCCCTGGAACTGGATGGAGTAAGCAGTAGCTGTAAGGTACCAGATGTAGATGCTAGGAACTTAGCTTGACTCTTTTCCTTTTTTTTGTTTTTGTTTTTGTTTTTGTTTTTTTGTTTTTCAAGACAGCGTTTCTCTGTAGTTAACTTGAATCGCATGAGCCCTTAACTGCTAAATCACCTCTTTGGAACCCCTGAATAGATTATTTCCAAAAAAGGAAATTTTCTACTTTTAAGTTAGAAAAAAAGTAGAAAGCTCCCCCTTTTTTTGCCCAATAGTCTCTACAGTGAGATCATCAAAATGCCAAGAGTTCTACAATTTGCGTTCCAAAGGTCCACACTATGCCTATGGTCATTTTCCTCTCTGTCTCTGTGTGTGTGTGTGTGTGTGTGTGTGTGTGTGTGTGTGTGTGTGTGTGTGTGTGTGTGTGTGTGTGTGTGTGTTCTTTCTCTTTCAGAGGATTCAGTAAAGGGAGGGAAAGGAAGGAATCACTTACTCCCATGGGCAATCTTACTTCTCTGTTCCTAACAGCACCACCAGCAGCACTATAAGGAACGCATTTATTATTCTGTAAGGTATTACCTGTTTTTAATTCTTATCACTGAGTGAATGAAGAAATTCAGTACCTAACAGTACTGTAACTTAAAAATTGAATAAAAATTAAGCCCACCCACTTCTCATGAAGTCTCTCTGCCTCCTACCCTCAGGGTTTTCTGAGAAATGGTTTCAGCTCTCAAGAAATGACTTGGTCTGTCTGTGGCTGACATACAAAGAAGCTTCCTCTTTCAACATTCACTATAAACTAAAAAAGAAAAGAACCCTGTAGATTTCACCCAATTTATCGCCATCTTAAAGGCCTCTATTACAGAATTTCACACGTCAAACAAATGGGAGAGTTTATGTTCATCATGGCAGAAACCAATTACAAACTCAAAAGTTAAGCAACGACAGAACAATTCTATTAATAATATTATCAGTTAAATTTTTCTCCTTACATTTTCCTAATGTCTGTGCACTTACGGTACTTCCCTGACAAGAACTCAACATATCTTATAGCTATGCTAACACTATCGAACTCCAAAAACTAATTAGAGAATAATTTTTTTTCATCAACTGAGCAAGCAGTCCTATGCAAAGATAAAACTAAATCCAAGTTCCAGAACCACTATCATTTTCATGGAAAGAAATGTAAATATTAGCAAACATGAAAGTCTGAACATTTCAAATGTTTACTCTGCAAATCAAAGAAATCCTGCTAGCTGGGCACTGGTGGGGCATGCCTTTAATCCCAGCACTCAGGAGGCAGAGGCCGGCTGATCTCTAAAAGTTGAGGCCAGCCTGTTCTACAGACCGAGTTCTGGGACAGGCTCCAAAGCAATACAGAGAAACCTTGTCTCAAAAAACCAAAATGAAAAACTAAAAGAAATCTTGCTATAGCTTCTCACTGACCAAAAATCAATTGGAATTACCCAAGAGCACTGTTTAATGATTATGATATGTCAGGCATTGTATGGTACACCTTACTGGGCTGTTATCTCAATCTTCACAATTTGATAAAGCAGAAACACTATCATGCCCCATTTTGCTGATATTGGGCAGTAATGTTAATTTTTTTTTGTTTTTGTTTTTTGTTTTTCAAGACAGGGTTTCTCTGTGTAGCTTTGTGAGTTCAAGGCCAGCCTAGTCTATAGAGCAAGTTCCAGGACAGGCTCCAAAGCTACACAGAGAAACCTTCTCTTGAAAAACCAGTAAAATAGAGTTAAACTCTTGGTAGCCAGGGACCATCTCTCAAGGATTATGATGCCTAGAAACAAGTATTAGAGGATATTAAATTCAAAGCATGGAAATATACTGGTCCAATTCACACCTAACTGTAATTCTTTCAGTTTTACAGACATTTGTTATCTATATAATTATTCATAATCTTATATGAATGTAATTATGTAGTAGTGCAGAACTGTTACATCACCACAAATGTACAGCTAGCGTGCTATTTCACATTGACTCACATTTCCCTCACCCCTACCTCTACCTCCATCACTAGCAAGAGTCTTCTTTCTTTCATTCTCTTTCTCTTTCTTTCTTTCTTTTTGGTTTTTTGAGACAAAGAGTTTCTCTGTGTAGCTTTTTGAGCCTGTCCTGGAACTAGCTCTTGAACACCAGGCTCAGCAAACACCGCCTGCCTGGCTTAGAAAAGCCCAGCTTAGAAATAGTCTTAATACAGTCGACTACTACAAGAATGTTATAGGCTGTGTGTGGTGGCACATAACTTTGGTCCTATCACTTAGGAGGCAGAGGCAGGTCAATTTGTATGAGTCTGAGACCAGGCTGGTGATCTACACAAGTTCTAGGACACCCAGGGCTATATAATAAAGCACTAATACAAAAAAAAAAGTTACATAGGGTTTGTTAAAGAGCTCATCATGCAAACCTGGCAACCCAAATTTGATGCCTGGAATCCATGGTAAAAGGTGAGCACCAATCGCAAAAGGTATCCCTCTGACTTCTACTCTTGCACTATGACACACACATTCCCACATATACCCACAGACAATACATTTCAAAAGAAAAGTATTCTATAAAAACATACTGTTGCTGTTTCCGGCCTGCCTTCAGTGCTCTGCGCACAACTAGCAGAACCACGGGAGACCTGGGGACTGCGCACTACGGATCCCATCCCGACAGGGTCCAACCTACCCAAGACTGCCAAGGCCCTGGTACTAAGATAGCCTCCATCCACGCAAGAGGGGAGCCACCAGAGTATTGAACCTGCTTGCACCCACCGAAAGGGAACTGTGGTCACGTACCCACCAGGAGCGGAAGAGACTCCTTCTACACCTACTGGAAGTGATGGGAAGGAGACAATATAAAAATGAAGGATGGCCGGGCGGTGGTGGCGCACGCCTTTAATCCCAGCACTCGGGAGGCAGAGGCAGGCGGATCTCTGTGAGTTCGAGACCGGGCTGGACGGACAGCCTCCAAAACAATACAGAGAAACCCTGTCTCGTAAAAACCAAAAAAAAAGAAAAAAGAAAAAAAAAAAAAAGAAGGATGCTCTCTCAGCCTGAACTCTTGGGGGACGGTCTAGGCCCTGCCTTGAACGAAATGACAGATCTGGAGATCCCCGGTGGAGGGCCTCACCCTCCCTGGGGAACAGAGTGGGGATTGGGTGGGGGGCTGGGGGGGCTGGTGGGGTGCAGGGGAGGGGGGGAGAGGGAGCTGGAATTGACATGTGAAGAAAGCTTGTTTCTAATTTAAATTAAAAATAAAATAAAATTACTCTCTCATTTCCATAACCTCCTCCTTACAAATCAAATATTATAGTGCAATATTAACTTTGCTGAAGGACAGAGTGATCACTTTGTAAAATACATAAAATAAATTTTTCCTACTGTTAGTAACATCAAAAAACAAAAAACATACTGCTGCCAGGTGGTGATGATGCACACCTTTAATCTGTGAGTTAGAGGCCAGCTTAATCTACAAAGCAGATCTAAGATAGCCAAGTATACATATAAGCCCTGTCTCGGAAACATATTGTTATGTAACCTTCTAACACTGAATTTTTTCAATTCTCAATCTAAATCCTTTGAGATCTACCCAAGTTGTATATATCAATAGTTTGTTCCTTTTTTTTTTGTTGAACAGTATACAAGAGTATGAATTTACTAATTACCCATTACTGATAGACAAAGGCTGTTCCCAATTTGAGCTCATTACAAATAAAGCTGTTATAAACATTCATTTACACATTTGTGCATGGATGGGGTTTTTACTTCTCTGAGATAAATGTTGAGAAGTGTACATTCAGATCTTTGGAAACCAGTCATACTGCTGGTGACTTTAATCCCAGCACTTGGGAGGCAGAGGCAGGCTGACCTCTGAGTCTGAGGCCAGCTCAGTCTATAAAGAGTCCCAGGACAGCTGGGGACACACAGAGGAACCCTGCCTTGGAGGTGAGGCAAGCAGAGTAGTTATACCATTCCCATTCCTATCTGCCACTTAGGAGATCAAGCTTCTCTGCAATCTATGGGGTACTATCTCTTCTAAATGTTCTAGTGGGTATGTAATGATACTGCACCACCATGGCCTTAACTAGTGTTTCTAATAGCTAATGATGCTTTTCTTACGTTCACATGTTTATCTGCCTTCTGTATTCATAACTTTTGTTCATCCCCTGCCCTCAGACAAGGTTTCTTTCTCTATGTGGTCCTTGCTGTCCTAGAACTTACTTTATAGACCAGGCTCAAACTCAGAGATCTACCTACCTCTACTCCTAAATGCTGGAATTAAAGGTGTAAACCACTCTCCTTTGAACATTTTCTACTTAGCCTATTTCATTATTTTCCCCAGTCAATCTGTATTCATCTCATTCTCTGAAACTTTGGCATGTTCATTTAGTCCTTTTTTATTCTTTGAGACAAGGTCTTACTATATATCCATGGCTTGTTTGGAACTCCCTATGTAGATCTGGCTGGCTGGCTATGAACTCACAGCATTCCCCTATCCTAGATCTGGAAAGTGTTGGGATTAAAGGCATGTGCTACCATTCAATGACTCAGGTGTTTTATTTTTCTGAACAAGGTCTTTTACTCTGTCTGTAGCCCAGAATTTGGAAGTCATAGTATTCCCATCCTGGCCTCCCAAGTACTACAGTTATAAGCATCAGTCAGTCAGTCAGACAGTCAGACAGTCAGACAGACAGACACACACACACAAACACACACAACTAATACAACTTACTAACTTTTAAAAACTGCATAGTTTAAGCCGGGCGGTGGTGGCGCACGCCTTTAATCCCAGCACTCGGGAGGCAGAGGCAGACGGATCTCTGTGAGTTCGAGACCGGGCTGGACGGACAGCCTCCAAAACAATACAGAGAAACCCTGTCTCGTAAAACCAAAAAAAAAAAGAAAAGAAAAGAAAACAAAAACTGCATAGTTTATGTTTTTGGTGTCATCCTAACACATCTTTAACAGCCTGAGATCCTGAGTTTTCTCCTGTTCAATTTCTTTTGGACAGTTACTATCTTGCTCTTGTATTTAAGTATTTAGTAGAAGTATACCTTAAAAGAATGTAAATAACTTGCTTCAACATTTATTTTTCAGCATCTTATATAAAGGTAGAACTTGCCCTATTTACAACTTACTTATTCGTTTATATTTTAGTATTATTATAGGCTCATGGATCCCTACTTTATTCAATAGGTAATAAAATTATTATTTTAATGTTCAAATTATCCTGAGATTGGCCAGTGGACTTAAAAATGGCTTGGGTATCTTTATGACATACTCTACTTAGTTTTTGTTTGTTGGTTAAGTCTTATTCTTACTTTCTAGACATTTAAGATATTCCAAGTTCCTCTTCCTTTCTTATTTCCTTTTTTTTCTTTTTGGTTGTTCAAGATAGGGTTTTCTGTGTAGCCCTGACTGTCCTGGAACTCACTCTGTAGACCAGGCTGGCCTTGAACTTACAGATCTGTCTGCCTCTGCCTCCCAAGTGCTGGGATTAGAGACATATGCCACTGCACCTGGAATGGTATGTATTTTAACCCCACAAACTGACCCATGAAAAAGATGACAGTTCACTGACATGTGCACGTAGACACATGAGAAAACGTAGGTGTTAAACCTGCTGTGGTGGAGGACACTTACACGTGGAGGCTGAGGCAAGAGAACTGCTCAAATGTGAGGTCTCAAACTAAACAAAAGCATATCAGTTTTTAAAACTTCTACACTAGTCAATCTACCCCAAACCCTCTACTTCACCGTATCATGTCTCCTGAAACAAACTGAAAAACACGCACATGCACATAAACCCAGAGTACTTACATGGGCTTACATCTCTGTATCTGTTTCGATTTCTGTTTTCTGGAAACTTGGCCACTCTATGAGGATAGTCATGGGACTCATTTCGAATTTCCTTTAAAATAACAAAAATATATTTTAATATCCTTCTTAAATTTTACATAACATCACATATTCTTCCATTCAATATAGAATAACATTAAGCATTTATGTTAAGTACTATACAAAGCACAGTGTTTACGTCATCACAAACCTCACAACACTAATGGAAATGACCCATATACTTTAATGAATTAATAATTTGCCAAAGGTCAAGTATGTACTGAGTGGCAGCCTCAATACCAAGTAAAGATTCTTTAGACATTGAAATCTTTATCTACTTACTACCTATTAATTAAATTACCTCAAATAAGCAGAAAAAATTATATAGGATTAATGCAACAGAATCAGACACATCACATTCAAATACTGATTAAAACTCTTACTGTATCTACCTGAATTTTAGGGTTTCTATCTTAAAATTTCTATCTTTCTGTTTTAAACTTTCTTGCCACATAACTGCTACTTTGAGAGTAAAAATATTCCTAAAATTTGTTTCTAGGGCTATTAATGTTTAGCAACAATATGCAGGTTCACTTTTAGGATCCTTAAGGTTCTCTTTCTCCAAACAAATTTATTTGCACTCAACCATTAATGTGGCCAAAATTGCCTGTTATCTACTAGATACCTTATTCCAAGAATTCATCGGGTCAAACCGAAAATACTCCTCAAGAATCCAAGAAAGAATGTTACAGTGAAAGTTCAAACTTTGCTCACATTACTTTAAATATGTGTGTGTGTACATATACATATATATATTATACATTTAACGTAAATATTTTTTTTTTGAGACAGGGTTTCTCTGTGAAACAGTCCTAGTTGTCCTGGAACTCACTCTGTAGTCCAGGCTGGTCTTGAACTGACAGAGATTCACCTGACTCTGCCTCCCAAGTACTAGGATTAAAAGCGTATGCCGTCACCTCCAGCGAATATTCATTCTTGATACATGACCTTCCTGAAGATTCTATAAGCACTCCATAATTTAGAACAGGCCACTTTCTAGTTTTCAATTTTACCCTTTGGCCTTTAGTGAGAAGCCAAATTTTCAACATATATTTTGTTAAAACTTCCATCTAATTTCAAGGAACCCTAAATTCAATAACTAGTCCCTAGCAAACCCTTCACCCCCACCACCAGAAAACAAAAAAACATTTATGAAAAAAATTAAGTAAAGGTTTTGTAGTAATTGTAAATACAAATATGATGTCTATAAACTATAACTGTACCATAAAACTAACATATACCCCTTAACCCATGTATCCAAAATGTGACAGCTCCTAAATAAATGAAAGCAAAATTAAAAAAACAACATATAAATTGAGTATCAGAAGTTGTAAAAGATTTTTGTAATTAATTTTTCTATTGGTATTTTCAAAGTAAATCATTATTGATCTCATCAATACTATTTTATGACTTATTTTCTATTTAATTATTTTTGCCCTATTTTACTTTTGTCTTTGGGTTGGTTTGATTGATATTGTATAGCCCCCTTAGTCCCCAGAAGCTTTTGTTTTATTTTTTTGAGACAGGGTTTCTCTGTGGCTTTGGAGCCTGTCCTGAAACAAGCTCTTATAGACCAGGCTGATCTCAAACTTACAGAGATCCACCTGCCTGTGCCTCCCCAGTGTTGGGATTAAAGGTGTGCGCCACCACGGCCTGGCCAGAAGTTTTTAATAATGGAGCATAATGCATGTTTCTAATCTCAACTGTAATACTCCTGCACGATATAAAACACTATTGTCAACCTTAAATGTCCAAGAGAAGTTTAATTTTATGCTTTCCAAATCGTTATTCAACTTAGTACCATTTCTTAATTTTTACATTTACCAGTTACACTTGCTCTATCATAGAGTAATGCTATTTCAAAGACTCATTTATCATAAAGACTGTCAAATTTTAGTTCTTGTTGGTAAAGTCTAAATATATGGAAATGGAAGTTGTGTTGCTCCTATTTACCCACTCTACTTGTGTTAAAGCTCATACTTTAGTTCATTTTTCCTCAAGGAAAGTATGTTTATTCTTGGAAAATTATAATAAACTATGATGTGGCCATAAATAGTTTTTAAAAATCTGGACTGGAGAGATGGCTCAGAGGTTAAGAGCACTCACTGCTCTTCCAGAGGTCCTGAGTTCAATTCACAGCAACCACATGATGGTTTACAACCATCTCTAATGAGAGCTGGTGCCCTCTTCTGGTATGCAGGAATACATGCAGGCAAAAGGCTGTATACATAATAAAAATAAATAAATCTTTTTAAAAAATCTATTGGTAGCTGGGTATGGAGGCACATGCCTTTAATCTCAACACTTAGGAGTCAAAAGTAGATGGATCACTGTGAGTTCCAAGCCAGACTCAATAAATAAATTAATATATAAAATAATGAAAATATGAATAAGGCATATTGATGATTTATTTTATCAATTGTTCTGTTGTATAATCCTATCTTCCACAGATTTTGTCAATTGCTAGCTCTTATTTTTTCATCCTAGAGAGACAATTATATGTATACACTATAACAAATTACTGATGCAAAAAAAAATCAAAGTAGGGCTGGAGAGATGGCTCAGCGGTTAACAGTACTGGCTGTTCTTCCAGAGAACCCAGGTTCAAATCTCAGCACCCACATGGCGGCTCACAACCATTTATAATGAGATCTGATGCCCTTGTCTGACCTGCAGGCATGCATGCAGACAGAACACTGTATACATAATAAATAAATGTTTAAAAAAAAGGAATCAAGTATAGAGTAACATAAAAAAGTATAATTTCCAGCCCCATTCTAAATATTTATCTTCACAGTCTCAGATAAGTACAGCACCCACTGTTTGTAGCAGACAAAATCATTACACAAATTCACAAACGGTCAAAATGCAGAGAACTGACTGGAGGGGGGGGCTTGACCCACTTATAAATCTACAGCATTCCTACACACCTAAAGCTTAGGGGACATCTAGAAAGAGGGAGTGGAAAGACTGAGTCAGGGGACCAGAATATCTACAAGGTAGTCTCTCACTCCCCCTCTTTTTGGTTTTTTGAAACAGGATTTCCCTGTGTAACCCTGGTCATCCTGGAACCTGCTCTGTAGACCAGGCTGGCCTCAAACTCAAGAGATCTGCCTGCCTCTGCCTTCTGAGTGCATCTTTATTAGATTACCCTTATTCAGGGTTACAGTGAAAAAGAGCATATGGGACAGAAAGAGATATAAAACATGCATTTGGAGAGAAAAAGAGCACTAGGAAGTTTAATGTTGCCACAATACATGTGTTGGATTTTTTTTTTCAATTAAGGTCATAATATGATTCTACTCAGTATAAAAAACAGAACATCTAGTGCTCTCACACCAATCTTGCCAAATTCACTTGGCTCCTTCATATGAAGGATTAGAAACTCTAAAACAAGATAAACCAGGCAGTGGTGGTACATGCCTTTAATCCCAGCATTCAGGAGGCAGAAGCAGGAGGATCTCTGAGTTGGAGGCTAGTCTGGTCTATAGACCAGTTTCAGGACAGCCAGAGCTACACAGAGAAACCCTGTCTTGAAGGAAAAGGAAAATAAAATTTGCCTTGCTGGATATAACACATGTAAAGTAAAAAGGGGGAAACTGCTTTAATACTACGTATATAAAATAAGAACCTAGGAGAGCTGAGCATAGGTAACACCTGGGAGAGAGAGGAGTGCTAGCCTGGGCTACAATGACAAGTGCCGGGAATACACAAGAGTTTATCTCAAAAAGAGAACCAGATGTTGGTGGTACAGAAGAATACAAGACTAAGCACTATTTTTATTTATGTTTATAAAAATGTAAAGATGTGTACATGTATGTTTTAGAGATAGCACAAATTTGAAATAAGTGGTGTGTGTGTATATATATATACATATATACTGTAGACAGATTTTATAGTGAACTTCAAGTAAATAATACCTAGTCTAAATCACAAATTCTGCAGTGCAGTTATTGAAATTGGGATAAGCAAACCCTGTTAAAAATCTTTTGTTTTATTTCATACTGAAGTGTGTCACTATGGGAGTGGGTTTTGAGGTCTCCTATGCTCAGGATATGGCCCAGAGTCTCAGTTCATTTGCTGTTGCCTGTAAGATGTAGGACTCTCAGCTACTATTCAAGTACCACTTCTGCCTGCATGCCAACCATGCTCCCCACCATGATAATAACAAACTGAACTTCTGAAACTGTAAACCAGTCACTCCAATTAAATGTTTACCTTTATAAGACTTGCTGTGGCCATGGTGTCTCTTCACAGAAATAGAAATCCTAAGACAGAAGTTGTTACCAGGGACTATGGTATTGCTGTGATAGGCTGGACCACGTTTCTGTTTGGAGAAATTTTGAACTTTGGGAGTCTGGGTTAGGAATGCAGTAGAAGGCTTTAAGCACTGCTTAATGGGCCATACTAGGAGGAACATGAAAGAAGACAGTGGTGCTAAGAGTTATTTGAACTGTGCTGAGCTTACTCAAGAGGCTTTAGAGGAAAATAATTTTAGTATGTTGCCTAGAAATCATTCCTGTGGCTAGGCAGTGGTGGCACACGCCTTTAATCCCAACACTCGGGAGGCAGAGGCAGGCGGATCTCTGTGAGTTCCAGGCCGGGCTGGACCGACAGTCTCCAAAACAATACAGAGAAACCCTGTCTCGTAAAAAAAAAAAAAAAAAAAGAAGAAGGAGGAGGAGGAGGAGGAGGAGGAGGAGGAGGAGGAGGAGGAGGAGGAGGAGGAAGAAGAAGAAGAAGAAGAAGAAGAAGAAGAAGAAGAAGAAGAAGAAGAAGAAGAAGAAGAAGAAAGAAATCAATCATTCCTGTGATATTTTGGTGAAGAAAGTGGCTGCCTTTTGCCCTTGTCCAAGAGTCTGTCTGAGGCTAAAGTGAAGAGTTTTGGATTAATTCCACTGGCAGAGGAAATCTCCAAACAGTCTATCATAGACTGTCATGTGGTTATTAGTGGTAACTCTAATGAAGATTTATAATGTAAAGGAGCACACTGAGCAGAGTAAATTACAAAAAAGTAAATTTTGAGGAGAAAAAGAACACCAGGAAGTGGAATGGAGCTAAGTCATGTGTTCAAGGAGATAAACGAATTAAGAAATGGGATAAAAAGAGTGGTAACCTCAGGGAAAGATCCTACCCAGCAAAGTTTCCAAACTGAAAAGAAACTAAAGAAAAGTTTAGAGTTGAATGTGGTAAGGGCAACTGGGAAGGCAGAGGCTGGCAAATCTGAGTTTACAGACATCTTGGTCTAAAATACACGTTTCAGGACAGCCAAGCTTAGACAGTGAAAGACAGAAAGCTGATGAAGATGTAATTGAATGAGGAGGCCATGTGGTTCTGGCTTTAGAGTTAAGGACAGAAAAAAGTTATGAAATAAAATTGCTGAGGCTAGGCACGTGTCAAAGGTGTCCCTGAATGGAGGCCTACTAGAGAAGGTATTGTGTGAAGCTGTGAAGTTGAAGTCTGGATTAACTTGGAGAACCCAAGATGTTAGAAATGCCAGAGTTAGAGTCCAGGTGAATCACTGTAAGTTTGAGGCCAGCACGGTCTAAAGAGTGTGTTCCAGTACAGTTAGAGCTACAGAGAGAAACCCTGTCTTGAAACCCACCTCACTGCACCCAATCCCCCAAATGCCAGTGTCATGGGTTCCTGCCGAGGAAAGCTGCTAACAGGGAATAGAACCAGCCCTAAGAGAGAGAAGTGTGCTGCAGTCAACAAAGCCGAAAGATGAAGAGTGTTTTGACATCAGACATGGAGGTGCAGGGTTTGGAGTTTGCCCAAATGGTTTCAGTCTTGCTTTAGTGCAGTTATTTCCCTGCACTTTGGAATGGTAATATATATCCTGTGTCATTATATGTTGCAAGTATGTGATCTGCTTTTTGATTTTGACTTTTACAGGTGATTACAGTTAAGAGAGTGCACGAATCTCAGAAGAGACTTCGGCTTTTAAAACTTTGTTGAAATTGTGACAAACTATGGGAACTTTTAGAGTTGAACTAAATGAATTTTGCATTATGATATTGTTACAAGCTTATGGGGGCCAGGCATTGGAATGTGGTAGTTTCAATGTATTGACCCCCACAACCTTATAGGGAGTGGCGCTGCTATTCAGAGGTATAGCTTTGTTGAAGGAAGTGTGTCACTGTGGGGGCAGGCTTTGAGGTTTCCTGTTGCCTGCAGGATGTAGGACTCTTAGCTACTACTCAAGCATCACCTGCCTCTATGCCACCATGCTCTCCAGCATGACGATGAACTGAACCTCTGAAACTGGAATCAAGCCCCCTCAAATGTTTTCCTTATAAGAGTTGAGGTGGTCAGCTGGATGGTAGTGACGCATGCCTTTAATCCCAGCACCTTGTTCATCTTGGTAGCCTAGGCCCGCAAACCCAACTACTTGGAGGCTAAAGCAGTAAGATAGCATGTTCAAGGCCAATAACTTACAGAGACCTAGCTTTAAAATATTGTGTATGGCCAGGCAATGGTGGTATACACCTTGAATCCCAGCACTCAGGAGGCAGAGGCAGAGGCAGGCGGATCTCTGTGAGTGAAGCCAGCCTGGTCTACAGAGAGAGTTCCAGGACAGGTTCCAAAGCTACAGAGAAACCCTGTCTCTAACCTCCCCCCACCAAAAAAAGTGTGTGGGGGGTGGAGGAACTGTACCTATGATTTAGTGGTAGAACATCTGCCCAACATGTTTGAAGCCCTGGGCTTGATTACTAGTACCCCAAAAGAAACAAAAACTCACAAATCCAAAACTTTCACCAGACATGATGACTCATGTCTGGGTCAAGGCTAAGCTGAGCTAAATAGTAAGTTCCAAAGCAGTAAGAGTTATAGATTGAGAATTTGTGTCAAAAAAAAAAAAAGGGTCAGGTGAGCCTGGTGGTAAACAACTTTAATCCCAGCACTGGGGAGGCAGGCAAATCTGAGTTCCTGAGTTCAAGGCCAGCTTGACCTAAAATAAAGATGAATTCCAGGATAGATAAACCCTGTCTCAAAAAACAAACACCCAAAAACCAAGTCAGGCATGGTGCTGCATGACTTTAATCCCAGCACTAAGGAGGCAGAAAAAGATGGATCTCTAGTTGGAGACCAACCTGGTTTATTTATGTTGTGAGCTTCATTCAGGTCAGCCAATGCTACTACATAGTGAGACCTTGTCTCAAAAAAACATCCAAACAAACAAGAAACTCTTCCTACTACTAAATCATGGAGTTATGATTTGTTTTGAAACAGGGTGATGCTAAATTACATAGGGTGACCTGAAACTAGCTACCATGCTCAGACATGCTCAAGACTCTCAGGTGTTATTATCATCGTGGGGGCCATAACACCCATTTCCAAAAGCAATGTTCTAAAAGTAACTGTTTATAAGGGATAAAAAGACTAAGAGCCCAATGACCCTCAACCAAAAATATTCAATGTATTCTTCCCTGCAAAAATTGTAGTAATGTATGAAGTAAAAGTTTTCCTATGCGAAATTCAGCTAAAAGCTGAGCATCTGGTTTTGCTCAAAAACAATCCTTTCTTTCCTAGTTCCTTCAGAATCATCCCCCACCCTCAAAAAAAAAAAAAAGCAGAATATTCACTTAACCAGCAGTTACAAACATTTGTGAGCTGTCATCAGGATGCTGGGAACAAACCCAGTTCCTCCACAAGAAAAACAACCCCTGAGACATTTCACCAACCATGATGTCAAAGATTTTAACAGGTGCTCATATCCAGCATGGTCTAGTAGGTTAGAAAGATTCCCAAAGGAAGTGCAACTTCAGACACAAGTAGGAGGGGTTAAGCAACAGGAGAAAGAAGGGGAGAGCGGTTGTGCAAAGAAAATTACATTCTAGAGGCCTCAAGGGGTTAGTGGATACACACATTTCCAAGAACAGATCATGGGGGGGGGGGAAGGAAAGTGACATGGGAAATAAAGCCACAGAGCACCAGTGGTGGCAGGAGACAGAAGGGTACTGGGAAACCAGTCACTAAAGGGCTGGAGTAGAGATAACTGTGCTTCGTTTTAGCTGCCTCTCCTCACTTCTTCCCTTCAACTTGTTTACCAAACATCTACATTTATCTGCATTTCTCCCAACTTACTGTTTCCAAGTCTGCACAACTGGAATATGCTGAAATTGCCCTTTAAATATCTGACCCTTGGATAGCTCAATTCAATAAGCCCTTTTAGTCTTGTATTTGCTCCACCTGTAGCAGGTAGCCCTGTGGACTATCAATTCTTCAACAGTTCTCTTCCCTACCTTCTTAGTTATTACTCTCCAGTAATAACTTCTGTTATCTACCCACCTGTAAAAACACCACTAGCAGTCAAGATGGCATCCCTGGCCCTCAGCATTTTCAAAACATCTACATGTTACTTGGGTAAATTTTGTTTCGCTAAGACAGTCTCACTATGTATCACTATGCAGACAGACCTGCCTGCCTCTGCTTCCCAAGTGCTGGGATCACAGGTGTGTACCACCATGACTGAATAATTACCTGAATAATCTTGATGAACAGGGCCTAGATATCTCAAACCTTAAACATAAGTTCTAATTTTACTCACAGATGAGTCCTCTCTTCTGAATGCCACATTCAGTTATTTCAGTGTCTTAAAAGTAACTCAACCACAGCTGGGCATTGGTGGTGCACACCTTTAATCCCAGCACTCAGGAGGCAGAGTGGCAGGCGGATCTCTGCGAGTTTGAGACCAGCCCGGTCTATAGAGCGAGTGAGTGCTAGGATAGGCTCCAAAGCTACACAGAGAAACGCTGTCTCGAGACAAAAAAAAAAAAAGTAACTCAACCATATCTACTTGATTTAACTTGGTGTATTCAGTGGGGGAGACACAAACATGCCAAGGCCCAGGCAGGGGGACAACTTTCAGGAGTTGGTTCTTGCCTTTAACCATGCTGAAGCAAGGCCCCTGTGCTGTGTACTCCAGGCTAGGTAGCCTGAGAGCTTCCAGCTGATTCTCCTGTCTCTGCTAACTTGCCTTTCAAGTGCTAAGCCACATCTGGCTTTTTTCCTCCAGGGTTCTAGGGAATGAACTCAGATTGTCAGGTTTGTATGGCAAGCACTTCTGTTTGTATAACCAGTTCCCCAGACCTACTTTAACTTTTCAACTGTGTTCTTCTCTTGTCACAGCCTATATTCAAAGACTTTAACTTTTCAATTTGAGGCCGGGTGGTGGTGCGCACTTTTAATCCCAGCACCAACGAGGCAAAGTCAGGTGGATCTCTGAGTTTGAAACCAACCTGATCTAGAAGAGCTAGTTCCAAGTCAGCCTCCAAAGCAGAGAAACCCTGTCTCGAAACCACCCTCCCCCCAAAAAAATTTCAACTTGACAGACTTCCCAGTGCTGTCTACACTTAGCCCTATCCAACCAACATGATCTTACTAAAAGTAAAAATAATACTTCCAGGTTTAAATTTCCTTAGTGAGTCTCTATTAAATCGTTCAATTTCTAATCTACAAAAGCCTTCTAGGCTGTGTTATTCTCCCACACTTGAACTTCAGAGCAAACGCAGCCCTAAACTCTCCCTCAGTAATCAATGCTGCGACTGGCTTGTGCAAACT